GTGTAAATAAAATGGCTCCGTCTGTGTTAAAATATTTTAAAAAATTTACAAAACTAAACAGCCTACAGTATTTTTAGTCTTTATTTTACAGTTAAAATAAATGTTTATCAAATAAAGTCTAATGTTACAACTGATCGGGGATCCCTTTAAGCTCGTTGGTCAATCAGAGGAGGGAGATCCAGACGGATTTATTCCTTTTTCTTCTGTATCCTTATTCCCTCAAACTTTGGTGACAAACTCAGTGTTTTCCTATTATTCTGTCAGTCAGGCACCTGGTGTCCTAAAGTCCTGTGTGGACGAGTTGTGGGACAGAACCCCCCACCCCCCAGTCTAACTCTGTTGTGGTGAATAAATGTCTCATTTATGGAATAAATGTGAAATTTCTCTGCAGTTTTCAGCTCAGAGGAGTGTTCCCGTGGGAGAACGGCCCCTGCGATGACTCCAGGTGTGATTACAGGTTTTATGGGGCGGTGTTTGTTGTTCGGCTCGTGACGTGTTGGAGCACCGACCTGCGACAGACGAGAAGGACGAGCCGATTCCCTGCAGCGAGCGGGCGAAGAACAGCAGAGCGTAGGTCCCTGAGAACGCAAACACTGACACAAACACAGTCCAAGTCAGGAAAAACCTCCAGGAAATGGAGCCGTCAGAGGGTTTCTGTGAGAAACGACTTACTGATGGTGGAAACAAACATGATGATGAAACCTGCAAACATGGGGATGTGGTAACCGACCCTGCACACAGACAGAAGCAGGGTAATCTGAGTTTAATCTTGAGTTTAACTCTGAGTTTAAAACAAAACAATCAGAAGAATCCTGATACCTGTTAGTGAGCGGGCCGACAAACGGGTTGACCAGCAGCTGGACCAGAGCTTTGGAGGCAAACAACAAACCAACGCGAACATTCTCCTCCTCCAGGAAAAGACTGTCCTGGAGACAGGAAGACTCCTGCAGCAGGAGAGGAGACAGGAAAGGAAACAAGGAGAGGAAATAAGTCAGGACTCAGAGAAGACCTGAAGGTTCTTGATTCTGAGGTCCACCTACCGAAGCGTTGGCGGTCCCGTTGACCTGCAGCAGTTCTGTGGTGGGCCCGGTCCAGCCCGTAGGACTGGTGTCGGGGGTTGTCTCCTCCGGGTCGAAGGTGGTGTTGTCAAACAGGGACACCAGAGGAGGCGGCTGTGGGCTCTGCTGGGCCTCTGTACCCAGGATCAGAGCTCTGTGGTCGGGTCTGGAGAGCTGGTAGGTCCAGCTTGAGGTCTGGAGGTTGTCCAGCGGTGATGCATCCAGGCTGGGCGGAGCCAGCAGCGAGGGCGGGGCCGTCTGTGGTTCTGGATGTTCCATGGCGTAGAGGAACGTTGGTATGATTGGCACTGAAGGAAGAGTTGAGACCCGTTAAAGGGTGGATCCGAACATGACTTTATGTTGAAGTTTAGACTTTAGAATTACAGGGGTTAGACAGTGAAACAGAAACAGATGGTTTTAGACCATAACATCCTTTCAGACAGCTTCCTCTTGCGTCCACAGTTAATCCTGTTGGATGTGGTTGGTCCTTCTTGGTGGTATGCTGACATTACCCTGGATACTGTGGCTCTTGATACATCACAAAGACTTTCTGTCTTGGTCACAGATGCTCCAGCAAGACGTGCACCAACAATTTGTCCTCTTTTGAACTCTGGTGTATCATCCATAATGCTGTGTACATTGCAATATTTTGATCCAAACGGTGCTCTTACCCTGCTAATTGAACCTTCACACTCTGCTCTTACTGGTGCAATGTGCAATTAATGAAGACTGGCCACCAGGCTGGTCCAATTTAGCCATGAAACCTCCCACACTAACATGACAGCTGTTTTAGTTTCACTGTCTAACTCCTGTATATACTAATAATCTGCTTAATCTGTTAAATTAAACCCATTCAGGAAAGGATTTATTTGATTTTGATTTATTGATTTAACAGGAAAAGATTATTAAAAATCAAGCCTGACTCAGCATAATTGCTGTTTTACAGCAGGTTCCTGTTCTGCAG